TGGGAAGCCAAAAGTGGCTGACCACTTCTCGACTTCAGAACGATCTGTACAGTTACTAAAGGCAGGATGAGTGATAAATCAAGGCTAGAACCTCTCAAATGTACATTGTGACCCTGTACGCGATTATAGAGGTTGCACTGAACTCGTAACTTGAAAATTGGCAAGCAAAGTGCGGGGTTTTTAGGTTTGAGGACGGCCCCGGGCAATGTAGACCATGCCGGCCTACATTGCCCGTTGGTAGTGCCATTGTGCTCTCTTGCCCAATGTCTGGTCTCTCTTCTCGCTTTTCAGTGTATCGTCGATTTTTGCATGTTACTGTTGATGGTGACCATCTTTTGCTCGCCCAACAATCATGAACAAGCGCAAGAAGGGGGGTCATATTGAGAGCGATTTCTCACACTTTCTCCCTCACCAGTACGTCAACTAGCACAATGCCTTTCTATGTGTGAACTCTACTATCTACGATGTGCAATTGCGGGAAGTGCGTTTCAAGATGAGGACTGATCCAAACGGTGCCACGAGCATCAATGATCTCGATTGTGTAACATCAGCATGGTTCGATCCTACTTCTATACATCAACAAAACTATTCAATCTTTAGTAAATAGGACTCCAGAGCTTTACAATTACTATCTACATCAGATGCAGTCTTTGAAGTTGTTCAAAAAACGATATGGAATAGCTGGGGACGGAGAACATTCCCCTTTTCAAAAAAATTAGAGAAGGTATAGCTGATAGAAGATAGAGTCACCGCCCTTGATCAATCCCTTCTTTAGATGCGCCACGCATTCTGCTTCCATTCAGAATCTTAGTGGCTTACTGAACGATGTGGTCTATACAATGACTTGCGGAAGCTCGCCGATGTTCGAGGCATTGTTCTTATTCTCCGAGACGGATCTATTTACAAACCTCGGAAGGTAGAAAGCTCGGCCGAACTCGGCAGGGCCGATATCCCTGAGGCAGGCTTATATTTCTCAGAAGGTTCGACATTTAATCAGTGCTTTGTGCCATTCCTTTCAACAGTGAACCACTACCGGTGGCCAACTGTAGTAAGCTAGTCTAGGGAGATTGGGGAAAAAAGCCCCCCTTTTCACTGATCTCTGCATGGAAATCAATGTCTATCTAGAAACTGTTCTGCACGGATAAGTTGATGTGTGGAAGTATATACTTCCAATGTGACCTCCAACACTCTAGAAATTTTTTGTGGACTATCGAGTAAATGTGACCATTGTTAACTTGAACGCTTGCACTCTCAAATGCCTCATCGATGGAGCATAGGCTCATATATGCCAGAATCAGATAACATGGCTTCTTTGAAGGGCCACATTGTGGAGAAATCCAAAGAAAGCGGCTATGGACAGAGCTAACACAAAGACTATTTGCGGCACTCTGTCGTCTGCTTGCTTGAAGAAGCTATTTCAGCTTGCATAACAGCACCAGGAAGCAACACTGAAGTGTTGAGAGAGATTGTCCGCACACATGTTTTCTTTGAAACGAAAGACCTCGAAAAAGAGAGTTCTCATGGAAGGGCGGTGGTGTTTTCGCTCTTATACTCATTTTCATCAACCGCCCTGTACAGCCTACATTATGGTGTTCATATAAGGCATGCTCCGGGAAAGAGCTTGTCGTAAAGTGAACTACTGTATGATCTGCCTTATTATTCCTGCTAGTCAGATCGTCCAGCTGACGCCGAACTCTCCTCTTACGCTTATATTTGAAGCAGCGGAGATGGTATGGGCCATAACATATTATCTGAGCTGTAGATATAGATAGAAAGTACTTCCGGCCAACGTACAGAACTGCTCAGTAGATGAACACATTCCGCTTCCATTACCTGCGTCAAAACGCCTACTGGGCAAGTCCCATTAATGATTGCAGGTGCTAATAATTGGGCTACATTAGTTTCACATGGTTTACACTCTCTTATTAAGCGTTACCCATACGACCTTATGAGCCCCTATCAGTTGTAATCACTGCCTGTCACCCACCGTTCACCTCCCCACTTAAACCTCTATATCACTTGCTGGAATCGACGCCTACCTGATGTCCCACGTTGTGAGTATGGTAGCCTTCCCATTCTCACTCCTCTTATCAGATCTTATCAGCCGCAAGCAGTTCCTGTACCTTACAGTAATGTTCCTGTCCCATTGCCTATCATACCTTGGAACTAATGTCCCACTATTGCTGTAACCCGAGCTATGGATTCGGTGACCCTACCCTTCTAACTCCCCCCATGGAATCTTATCAGCTGATATCACTCCACCCGCCAATA